TCCCTAATGTCTCCTTTGCAGAGCTGTCTGATTACACTCTTGTCCTGCTGCGTGCCTGCTGTGATCTACAGGTTGTCCCTGTGTTGTGTTGTTTGGTGAGTAATCAAGATGCGACTGTGTAGTGTGTGAGCCCCAGCAGCAGTAATGACTCTGTGCTCTGGCTTATTATGTTTCTCACCCAATAAAGAAGATAGTAGAATCCAGTGTGAATTTCAGCTGTAGGTGCTGCATAAGCAAGGTCGGCATCTGACTGTGGCAAACAATGCAGTTAATTTACTGCAAATGGATACCTGTCGGTGCGTTTAGAAGTTTCCATGAGCTGTGAGGAAAAGGAAATGGTGACTTAGCCTTGCATTTTAATTTACTGGAAGTCTCACTAGCCCATTTTAAAAATCTCTGTAACAGTAATCACTTGCTCTCGGGCAACAGAAGTTTCACTTGGGTGCCAGCAGTGTTTGGGCCTTGGCAAATTTTGCAGTTCCAAAACTGAGGCCGTTCATTAAAACTGCTGAAGGAACAGGGCAGGGTTGGCCTTTGCTCTGAATTTTTTAAGCTCAGTGAAAAAAATTATAGTAAGAACCTTTAAATATGCAGAGGTAGGGTGGATGCTACTGGTTGCTCAGAATAAGTGTGAGAGTTAAGTACCTTATGCAGTGAGCGGAGCTGGAGTGGGGGGGAAAGGAAGGAGCAGGAGAGAAACTTCTTGGAGGAGTCTGCTGTAGGGCAAGTACCAGGGATGGGCAGACGGGCAGTAATTGTGCCTCAGTTGCTATGTCCTAGCATTAGGAACTGTTTTGTGCCCTTGCTCAGGTGCTGTGGAGAAAGAGGCTGCAGCTAAAGCGTGAATTTCTTCTAAAAACGAACCATATGGGTCTTAAGAGTTTTTGGTTTTGTTTTTTTTTTAAACCAGAGATAGATACACTCAAATTGTCTGACTTCAGTCTATGGAGCAGCTCTCCCTCCATAGTCAGTAAGCTGAAAACACCCTTCTAGTCAATGAGTTATGACTCATCCACCTTCTGCATTCATTATAGCAGGAATCTAAAGAGGCATTTTTGGCATCCCTGTAACTGCTTCAATTTTTGGTGCTTGCATCTAGACACTTGCTGTAGGCATTTAGGTTTCTCTGGTACTGTAATTCCCAGCGTGGGCCTGAGGGCATCCTTTGAGTCAACCCCAGGACCCAGAGAGCGGTACCAAGAGTGCAGGCAGTTATAAATTCATGGAGCATTTTGAAACATGGCTCTGGGGAGGTGAGCTTTGGTTCTGAATGAGTACATTGTACATGCCAAGGCCAAGTAAGGGGATTCTTGCCCTTTCACCACCGCCTCATAAGCTCTCCAGCAGTTTTGTAAGAGAAAACTGAGCTATGTGATGCCAGGAATAGCACTGCTTGGAAAACCTTTTTAACATCTCTGTCTATGTCTCTTGTTCTTTCTCATAAATACAGCCGAACATTGCTTCAGCTGACGGCACCTTGGTATTGAGCAGTCGTTTGGTGACTTCCCTCACTGACAGAGGAAGATTTGATGTTGTGCAAAGGCTGTTTGCCTCATCAAACATTAACCTGGAAATAACAGAGTCTTCTGTAAAAGCTGTAACTACTAAAGAGCCTAGGTGCTTCCCACTCGTTCTTTATGTTGCACTGCATGGATTTCATGCTTTAGGTGGGAATGTAGAGGAGCTTTGCTGAGAATGCAGTTATTGGTCTAGCCTGGTCTTTCTTCTGTAGCTCTGCAGTATAGCATTGATGTATATGAGCTAGCTTTAGACACATTCAGTTGAGTACTTTTGGTGGTCCAGCCAGGTGGTATGGAGGTCAGCATGGACTAGGTTTGCCTGAGGTGAGCACTCTGCATTGCCATCAGAACGTGTGCTACTGCTCTGTGATTTCACTAAGGTAATATCTGCAGTGGAAAACACAGCAATAAGTAACTGAGGAATAAAAGAGAAGAAGAAAAGACAAGCCTGGAACAGAAATGGAACATAACCGTGCTGATAGCTGTTTTATCTGCAGGGCAGCAGAAGCTTGATTGCTTGTGTTAATATGCGTGGGAGAAAACTGCAAAGTACAAACTGCTTTTTGTAAACAAGCAAAGTGTGGAAATCCAGGGCTCGATATATGCTTTGCTCATTTAAGACCTGATGTGCAAAATGCCTTCACTCTGGGGAAAGTGGAATGGCGGGCTCTCAGACAGGTACTTGATTAGGTTTTCATTTATTGAGTATCGTTTGGGTTTATGGATATGAACTCTGCACTGCAGAAAATAGTAAATTCTTTTTCAAAAACTAAGACCACCTTAGGGATGCTCTGTACAGCATTTCTCTGTTTTCTAATAACTTTTACACAGCAAGTTTCCGCTGTTTAAATTGCATTCTGAACTTCCCCTTTGAGATATGATGATTCCTTTTGGTATGTGCATATGAAGTGTCCCTGTTGCACTCCCCAAAAGCAATCATTTTACCCACATGACATTTTCAGTGCAGCTATTTTGCCTGTTTCTTTGACTAATAGCAAAGTGTTAGTAAAGCAGTTTGTGCTTTGAACTGTTTTGCCTTTTTTTAATCATAATTTTCTGTGATCATGTGAATGGGAAGGAAATGCAGTAAATATGGGCTTGGGAAGATGTTGTTCCAGGTAAGTGGAATATCAGTGTTTTCAGATAACACTGTGAGATGGCTGACAGGCAAACAAGCAAGCACCTGTGGGAAGGGGTGATCAGTAACCAGGCCCTGCAGCTTAAGCAGGATGCAGGAAACCTGGGTTTGGTTTTCTGCTCCACTACCACATGATCTGGAGGAGATTGCCTAAGAGGTCTTAAAAAGTCATGTCAGGTAAGCTTCCCCTGAGAAAGGTGGACTTTGCAAAAAAGCACTGTCGTATTTTTCCCTGCTTCCGGAGAGCAAGATAGATACCCTTGCATATCAAGGGGCTGGTGTTTCCATGGCTCGTCTGTAAAGTGAGGCGGATGGTATTGCCCGAACCTTGCAGTGGGACATGTGGAAAGGGCCTTTAGGTGGATGGAAGTACATAGTATACTACTAGCAGGAGTCGTGTATTTGTAAATGGAAAAGCCTTCTTTTGCCAACCACTATTCATAAGTTGTCTCTGTAACGAATTCATCAGACATCTGTATTAAATGTTATGTCAAAACAGTAGAATAATTTGTAGCCACATGTATTTTATTTCTGTTGTTCCTTTGTTGATTCCAAAGAAAGATGGTGCAACAGGCAGCAAGAGGACATGTGGGCATCCGTGTAGTGCTGTTTTCCACGTGCTCTGATCTTCTTTATATATAAGCCTTATGGGAAGTATTTTGTTTAACTACTTTCAAGGTGGCCACACTTTGTTATATATGTATGGGGGGGAGGGTTTGTTTAAGGAGGAAGAAAGCACGGGCTGTTTTTGAGAAACTTCAAAAAAAAAAAAACCAAAAACAAAACACAAACCTTTTGCTTCAGCTAAATCCACTGACAAGGTTCAAGTTGAAGAGTATTAAGGTTGCCACAGGCACTCATCAGGGGCATCTGGGGGCACTGGCGGTGTTCATGGTACTAGGGAGCCCAGCAGTGTAGCAACTTCTCTGGCAGTAACTAAAGACAAGGAGTCTGAAGGCATGAGGTTCTGTGGGAGTCCTGCTGCTTTTAACCCCTTAACACACACGGAAATGATGTGTGAGACACTACTGAGGTAGGCTGGGCTTGCATGTGATACCGCACCTCTGCTGCAGGCCTGGCACACGTGTCAGGATTGGGAGGGGGGGCAGAGACTGCCGGAAAGGATGGGGCAGCAGCACCAGGGCCTCTGTCACTGAGGAAGGCAGTCTCAAGCAAAGGGGGAGACATGGGGCTAACAGTGCAGTGCTCCTGGGAGCCCAGGCTCCTTGCCACTTCCTGTTAATCATTAAGAGGGCTTGGGTCTCTCAGCACCTCACACCTCCTGCCTGCGCTGCTTTTAGCATTGATAATTTGCTTGCGGAAGCCAGTGGCTGGGGTTTGTTTTCGCCCTTTGACAGGCACTTCTGTCACCACAAAGGCACCTCTAGAGCAACAACTGTCCTAGAATGATGTTTTTAGAAGAACTGAGTGAGCAGCATAGCTGGGACAAAGACACAGTAAGGCACTTCCTATGTTCATCTTGCTATTTTTCCAGTTTGTTCTTCTATACTTTTGAAAGCAGGACCTTTATGCACACTAAGTTAATATTCAAAATAGCTCAGACTGGGCTATGAAGAGCCAAGGGCGCATCAGAACTATGCGGTGTTTTTTTTTTGTGCTGCTGCTCCCCAAGCGACGTGAGGGTAGCCTCTCAGGGACACAGCCTGAACTGCAGAACCCACTTTAGAAGAGCTGAGTGTGCATCCACCTCATCTCAGACTATACACCAGTTTCTTGTGACAAGCTGGACTCATACTGAAACTGCTGCTTGAAGGTTAGGCAGGGTCTTCCCTGGAAGACAGAGGTGATAAGAGGGCAGTAGAGCCCTTCAGACAGCTTCAGTGCTTGCCTCATAAAAGGCTTGATTTCACCCCCAGATACCTTATTCCCCCTTCCCCAAACCAGCGTTGTTTCCCTTCCTTTGATATGCTTCTGCCTTCCCCAGGAGAAAAGGGGAGAAACCTCATGTTTGCAATTCAGAATCAGATCAGGACAGAGCGGAGATGAGGGCAGTAGCCTCCTTTCATGTGCAATCTCTACAAAGAGGAACAGGCTCAGCCTTGCTGTCAGTAACCAGCTTCACATAAAATCTGCAACCCTTAGTCCCCTGGGCTTTTGTACACTGAAATAGCTACAGCTTGGACCCAGGAAGACAGCTCTAGTACTACTGCACTGCTCAGAAGATGAGGAGTCCGACTTTAGCAGAGTCTTTCACAGGATGGTTGATGAGGCCCCCCATAGCTCTATACATTGAATATGGGAATCATTCAAGCACATCAAAGTAAACAAGACCAGCAACTTCCACCTGCTTGAAATTAATTTCAAATTTTGAGCCCCATTTCCCATGCAGGAGCTCTAAGCTTCACCTTAGGAAAGCTTAGGATTACTTCAGCCTAGGAAAGCAAGGGGGAACATCACAGCTTCCATGTGCCAGAAGAACCACCCAAACTGGTAAACCAAGGCATTTCAAGTGAAACTGCTGCTTCCTCTGAAACTAGGTACTTGTGCAGCCAGGAACAAAATTCATAGCACCAGAAGAGCAGGAAAGGAGTGTTTGACTATGTAGTTCTGTGCTTAAACCTTTCATCTAAGAATAAAGTAGAAACCAAGCTGGAACCTTCCCTCCTAGCTGACACTTGTACCTGCAGCGTCCAACCTCCCTGGAAAGCTACTGTGATGTATTACAGAGTCTGTATGTAAATATATCTCTTCCAGGGATTTCAAACAGCCCCTTTTGTAGCAGAAGACTTCATAGTTTCATCAGAGAAAAGAAGGAAAAACGTGTTTCAGTTTTTCTTCCCTACCTGCCCTCTGAGGAGATATCATAATGACAAGTAGTGAACATTCAAGCTATTTCTTTGAAAAGTACACAACTGCCCTGAATTTAGGCCCCAAACATGCTGTGTAAGCAACATACACATCTGTGAAGCCTGTTAGACTTCAACCAAACAAAAAATCCCCCAGAAGAACCATCTCCACAAAGACCAATCTGTGCAGATCAGTTAGTGGTCAGACACTAGCCTGTAAGTTTCATTTGTCTAATACTTTATACTAGCACATCTAGAAACATTTAGTGTGTTACTTGATGTGGAGCCCCTTTTCAACAATAGAGGATTAGGTTAAGATAAAAGGCAGATCTGCTCAGATTGTTTCTTAATAGCTTCTTTATTTGGCTAAAATTCACAGTATGACGAAAAATAAGAAAAAACTAACTACATTTTTTAAATATTAAATCTTTATTATATACAAAAATATTTTGTTGGGAATTAACAGAATTTCACAATTTATACATTAACACTTTTATGCTTGGCTGTGTTTAGTGTGGAAATATTAGTTGTGAAAAAGACAATGGGGATCTTAGAAAATAAGTTATGATTTAAAAATGTCCTACGCAATAGCTGACTTAATAAAAAGTCATAATACTAACAAGTCCCGTCTCCTAGGTCTGCTCTAGAGTATCGTATTTAAACAACGGTTAGATAAATCTTCTGTTTTGTATTAGAAAATCCAGCTACTAGTTAGGATTCTTTGTACGATGTCTGAGCTAGTGTTTTATTATTATTATTATAGGAGAGCAGTTTTTTAAAGTCTTAAAGGTGTCAAGTCCAGTTTAATTTAATATACTGTAGAAAAAAACATGCAGAGCTTGCAAAAGGGGAAAAGTATTTGTGAGAACAAGCAAGGTAAGTAAAATCTTAAATGCACAGCTTCAGACTTTAACACATTTAAATCAAAACATTTAACCAAGATTTTATAGTTCTTAGCCCAGTTTGGGGTGGGAGGGTGACAAGCTTTCCTGTATTTTAAAACCTAAGAAAGAGGTCCCCCATTTATAGCAGAGTACACAAATGTTACATAGAGGCAATATATGCTTGGGGGGTGAGGAAAGAAGGAACTCTCAACATGCATTTTTAAAGGGGAAAAATACATTTGAAGTTATCTGCATATACAATTGTGTACAAGATGTAAATTCACAAAAAAATCAGTTCAAAAATAACTTTTTCACAGCCAACACGCTGCCACCCCCAGAAAAGTTCAAAGCAGTGGCATTAATTTTGCCTATGCTATATATCACCTAAGAGGTCAAACAACATAGAGGAGTAGTTTGGGTTTTTGGAAGAGGTTTTACCATATTTTACATAAGCCTTGGCTACCTACGGAGTAAATACATGGATCAGCCTTGAAGACAGCCAAACTTTACATCCTAAAGCACGGACGAGCATTAGCACAGAGCTAATGACATTAAAAGGAAAAGAATAATGGGAGAAAGTGTTTCCAGGACTACTTCAACCATTTTAAGCCTTGCATGTCGGTCATTACTCCACATCCAACCATTATATTAGCAGCAAAAAGAACTTCATACTCAGCTAGTATGATAAAGGGTTAAAAACATTGAGAATAAAATTCAGGCTTACTTTTGAAGTGTAATTTATCCCATGAAATAAAAATATTGCTTAAACACTCCATTTAAAAAAAGAAACAAACACTGTTTGTAGGGGAAACCCCTTAACAGCCTTTACACAAGCTGGAGTTTTTGTTTTTAAGTCTGCATAGCTAAATTCTACTTCAGTACCAGTAAATGAACTACAAATTCAGCAGTTTAACATGTGCCAGTTTGTGGAATAATAACCCACCATGGTCCAACATGGAGAATTCAAGTAAGTTGGCAGATACTGAATTATTTGCAACATGTTACCTCTAAGCTTTATATATATATATATATATATGTGTGTGTGTGTGTGTGTGTGTGTATACACACACACACACTTATATATGTATGTGCTTGCATGTATGGGGGAGGGGGGCACACTTAATATTTTTGGAAGCCAAAGCTGCCTCTGAAAACTGTTTATTTCACAAGTGTTTTCACTGTACTTTTTTAGTACCTACCTTGGTGCTGCAAATAGTAAGTAATATCACTTGCAAATACTGATGTTTATATTCACCACTATTTCATCTATAAGACTGGCTGAGAATCACAAACAATTCACATCAATAAGCTCAATAAAAATACATGAAAAAAAAAAATCAAGAAGGCTGGGGTGGGGAGGGGGAGAAGAATTTGGCCAGAACTATTTCACCACCCTCAATAATGATGGTCAACCAGAGAAAGCAAATGAAAATAGCTTTAACCACAGAAGTCCTATTAATGGCCCAAGACAGGTTTTCTGTAGAGACTGACAGCTAGAGGGATATTTAAGGCAAGAGGCCTAGCAGACTAAAAGTGCTTGTATCCACTAACCACTATTTAAACATGGATAAATTGATCTCTCTCAACACTTTTGCAAAAGTAGTATCATCACGTTTGGCAATAACAATATTTTACTCTTTACTTTTACTCTTCAGAATTTGGGTGAGGCAAGAAGTCCTGTAGAAGCAAATAATCTATATATGTTTGCATTATAGCTGCAACAGACCTTTATCTCTAGTTTGTCTTAAAACTGTACCTACAGGCACAAAGAGTGATGGCAAATCTATTGCAGTAGGCACTATAGATATATTGAGAAACAGCATCTGCCTCAAAGTTCAACCTGAAAGGGGAGAGGAACCAAGGAACTAGTAAAGGAAGTTCAAATTTGGTTAGGTTCACATAATAGATCACAGGTAAAGACAGACAATTGGTTACCTAAGTCTCCTGATTTCCAGAGTAGTGCTCTACTTACTTGGTCAGTCGCCACCAGTTCTTATTTAAGCATAGAGAGACAAGCTTAGTTTCAAAATGATACCTAGCCAGGAATTTTCTGTATTTAAAAAAGAAAAAAAAATGGTTTCCTATTTATTATCTGTATCACCTTCCAAAACAAAAACAACTAGAAGACTTCTTGAACACTGGGTTGCGGGCAGTTTGTACAACAAATCATTTAGGTGTGATTTTAGAAGATGGAATGGGTTAGAATTGTACAGAGAGATCACAAATAGAGTCAGTCACATTTTGAGCCTATCCAAGATAAACAGTTTATATAAAACACAAGTTCAAAAGTGAAGAGTTGATCTGCCATCCTGCTCCACAAAGCTTTTGTACTATGACATACACAGAGTTGCACTGATCTGAGAACACTGCAGAAGTTAAAGATACTGCATTGATTTTAAATTTGAGCCACCTGTGTCAGTTTGTCATTCTGCTCCAATTTTACTTTCATTTCATATTTGCAGAACATTTTTAAAGCCCTTTATAAATATATGCAATATAACACATCCCATTATATCTATCGTACTAAACTTTAATTGACTGCATTTTGTCACATTATTCAGAAACTAAAGTAGACCTGCTAGTGTAATGTTTAGAGAACAGCAAGGTAATCACTCAGGTATACATGCACCAAAGTGTTTACATTAAAGTTGATGCATATTTGGTGCATACTTAGGGGCATTTTAGGTGCATTTTGGGGAATAACTTATGGGGCTTGGCATACTGACTGTACTTTTATGTATAAGTTTTCATTCACAGGGCAACTACAGCGTTTCTTCTATAAGTCTCTCTATATGTACAGAATTTTACAGCACTTCATGCAGTGTTTAAAACAAATGTATAGAATTTTTAGATTGAAATATCTGTATATTTAGAAAAATATTCATTAGTAAACACAACAAACCAGGTAGAGAAGTGTACCAGTTCTAAAGTCTCACATGCAGGTACATTTCTGGATTAAGTCATGGTAGATTAGTAATGTGATTGCAGACATGAGATTTTTTTTTTCTTTAAACCATCCACATACACACATATACACAGACAACTATTTGATAATTTACTTTTCTAAACTACGTAAATATTTATCTTGTGATACATACCACATATCTTAAACGTTTAGCAGCATCTTCACCTTGCTCATACATACCTACTGTTATTATTAACAGTCAACATAAGTTTACCTGTTAGTATCTGGAAAATGAATGTTTAGTACAGAATGACATACAGAAACCCTAGTTATTTGAAACCTCCCAAATCCTTTAAATAGCTATTATATGAAATATTTTCACTTGCTCAAAACCAATCCACTCACAGCATCTTTCTGCTAATTGCACAACGTACAGGTATTAACTTCTGATCTAACATACCAAAACAGGTAGAGGCTATCACCACTACATATATGATGGAAATGGCACCTTCATTCTAAGACTCTCCAACGGCTTTTTAAAATAAATAGAAGTTTAATGACCATTCACATTCTAGTCATCCTACCAGTTAGTGACAAATTTATTTGAATATCTGATGAAAATCTGATTTTCCTTTTGAAGAAAAACCCTCCTGCTGTTTCCAAAACGTTAAGCATGTGCCAAACTTGACTTGCAATTTTCAACATTTAAGAAAAAATACATTCCTTGCATCTGTTTAGTACAACTTGCATTTGGACCAGTTAAAAGCCAGATACTTTGATGTGATCCTTGCATGCAATCTAAGCAAGCCATCTTCTCTTACTGCTTTATAAACGTACTTCTCATTAGTATTTACATTAACACCACCACATGGTCAGGCACAAGGCTCCACCATCACTCATTGCTTGATTTAAAAACACTATGTGGAGCTAGGCTTTAGCAGATAACTGGTTATTTGGAGACTTGATAACTAGGTAGGCCCTTTTTGGCAGTATTAGCTCTAGAACGGAAATAAAAGGAGCTGAGAAGTTTTCCTCTCTAAACCTTGGTGCCTATTTCACCTGTTTCATTTGGTTAAGTGAATTTATGGAAAGAAAGGAAAGTTAGCGATATCTGCAGTACTATGATATGGAAACTGAAGAATCTTCTTATTCCATTCATTAGAGAAGAGTGAGCTCAGCCCACTTTTGGCATCACAAGTAGACAATTAGAGTATGCTCTAACTCATAATGAAAAGGCATCACATCTGTCCAGATAACAGATCTTACGTACCGCATATGTCAGTCTTTTACACAGTACACAAACAGACACAGCATAGTCATGTTCAGCATATAGTCCCAGGATCAAATCATTACAAGAGTCAAGCAGTGGTCTGCTTTCACTGCTGCTACATACACCACTTGATCTGTTTCTCAAAGCAGCCTCTGAGCAATAGGATCACAGACTATTTCCCTTGGGAAAGGCAAACAGAGGTCTCATGCTGGTGCCACATCTAAAAGCGCTACCAAAAACTTAAACAAAACCAGAAAATGCTGAAAACTGTAAGAACGGAACAAAGTAGCAGTACAAACATTCCTTAGAAAATTTCAGCCTCCCTCTAAAGGACTGAAATCTCAGTATTAAGAGACACAAAGATGACCTAGGCTATACACAATTTTGATTAACGTTTTCAACCTGTAACCGGGATCTCAAAAGAAAAAAACACATATATAAAGAAAACCCCCCCACCATACAACCCCAAACTTCAGAGGAATTTGTAAATCCTCTGTAGTTTGGCAGGGGTGGGGGGGTAGGCAGGAGAGTGTTGAGACTTAAATTTTTTCTATACTATCTCAACCTTGTTTTTCTTTTCCTTGTGCACATAGAAGCCTTTAAAAGCCCAGGAAACAGTACTGTTTTACAGTGTATAAGCCTCTTTTCTTTCAGAAATAATTCTGAGGAGTTGCCTGTTTGATAGCATTCTGTATCACACTTTGGTGTTTAAAAAGAATTCAGAAGCCAGGTGCCTGCCATCAGGTGGAAAAGAAATTAAGCAAACAGATGACTGCAATTTAGACACCTATCCTGATTAAGTGATGGTAAACGTAACTATATACAACAGCTAACACAGTAATATAAAATATGGTCACAAAACCAGCTAGTCTTCGTGACAAGCTGTATTTTCATTTCGTTCTTGTTAAGCAGAAGTTTACATTAGCATAAGCTTCGAATCAATGAAACGGATGAACTTGGACCTAACTTGAATTATATCAATGGGCCTACTGAGGGGAGAACTGCCATAAACCTAAAAGGAAACATGTTGTAAAACAAAAAGGTATAAACAATGTTGCATTTTAGCAGTTGACAGCTTCCAATTCACGAGTTATTCCATGGAAAAAATGCCGTTAAAAACACAATGCAACAAAGAGCACAAATTCCATTACATCACATTCATAAAAATACAATAGCTGATCACTCACAAATATTCCAAAATATAATATAGAAGCCAGCTAAATACCACAAGAAATTAAGTCCCAGATCAATATACAAATATTGAACAATGTTTTAAGAAAAGAAAATGCTTCTTTCTTTTAGCAATGTGTTTTTACAAGTTTGAATAAATAGTCCTAACACTAAGCTTCGTTCTACAAGGCTCCACATTATTAAGTTCTCTCTCAGGCTACTTCACCGTTATTCAAATTACACTGAAGTACCTTGCATACAGGCTTTCTATCTTCAGTACTTTAACCATAATAGACTAACAGGTTGGCACCCAAGAACAGCCTAACAAGTAGCTTGCAAGGTACTGCTTTACGTTATTTGAAGAGACACATATAAGGGAACCTACAGTACAGTTGTCTAAATCAAGGGACATCAAGAACTTGTGAAACGTCAAGAATGCATCAACGTTAAGCAGAAAGAAGCTGAAGCAATGGAGCTGTGTGTTGGTTGCTGCTTTCGATATTTAAAATTCTGCTCCCATGAAACTGATGTCTTTCAAAGAAAAAAAAATTAGTGTATCCTCTTAATAAGAGCTATAGACTTTTGACCAGTTAAACACTGACATTAACAAAAGTTTTACAAAAATTTTCAAGTATCCTTTTTTCTTTGTTAATCACAGTGAAAATGTAAGACCAAGATGTAAATGTTAAAGTGAATGATTGAAAGTTTCTTAGATGAAAAAGGCAAAGGTACTAAATCAAAACATATAAAAATGCTTAAACGCATTTCCTTCATGTGATATGAATAGAAAGGTTATCTGTAAAAAGTTAGAAAAATTAAAATAAATTACATATTTAAGTACACTTTCCCTTCAACATTTCTATAAAAATTCAGAATAGCGTACTTTTGGATATACACAGAGTAAAAATGCACAGGTGCTGCAGGTTATCTTTTGTATCTACACAACGTCTTATCACATTAGCATGTTTGCTGCAGTTGATTTTGTTTGTTATTTAAGCTCGTTTTCAGAAATCTCAATATACCCAGCTAATTGGGACCCACTGTGGTTCCAGTCTCAGTCTCTCTATAGCAGTCTGTAGCTTCTCGAAGGCTTTGTCCAGGTTGTCATTTATAATGGTCAGATCAAAGTAGTGGTTGTATGCTCTCTGGATCCGTGCACTTTCATCTACTGTTTTTTTCAAATCAGTGTCCTGTTGAAAAGATTTTTAAAATAATTAAGAACACAGGACTTGGCAAAGAAGTATCAGTTCAAAGAAGCGATAGTTCAACACATACTGCAACTGACTATTTAAAATTACATAACACGTACATTTAAAATATAATAATGAAGTTTTATATGGAATAAAAATGAAAACATTTAAGTTAAAATATTTTGAAAAGGTCTGGAAAATGCTGTGTCAATAATGTTAAATAATAATGTTAAATATCACAACCAAAGGTTTACAAATAGCTATTTTTAACAAAGCCAATAAAAGCACCTGAACTGGAGCCTGTACACACAACAGGCAGTTAATCATTTTGTATATGCAACTGATGATTCAATTAGAATAAAGTTAATATCTTTAGGAATAACTGAGGCCATTAGTTATGTAAATATGCCTTTCTTTCTTGCGCTCTCTCTCTCTCTCTCCAGAAAGCACCAAAAATCCAAGAATGAAAGAATCCAAGAATCCAAGTATGTCTGACCATGAAAGAAAGATTTCTAGAAGCATAAAGCTCTAGAACGTCCTGCTGGTTAGGGGCTACATTTTGTCTGTCTTGTTCACTTCCACATGGTTGTTCTCATTCATGTCACTTTACTTGTGACATGAGCTGCAAAATGGGCAGCAAATCTATATTCCTACATTATGAAGCCTCCATGAAGTGCTGCCACTCAGGACTGCTTTATTAGTTCTACATTCTTAGAAGATTACTCTCCACTTGTGCACAAAATCAATTTTTTTTGTGATCAGTTGTGAGAATTGCTCCCCCTACCAATATTTATTTTAACAGTAACACTTTCAAGTTCTGATACAGGTGTAAATATGACAGCCAAAATGAAGAAGTAAAGTAATTAATGGAGTCCGTACAGATATATAAAATATGTTCTAAATGTAACCATCCTCCTTACTCATAATGACAAGTAAAACAAAGGTAAGGATGTCCTTTAAGGAATCAAATATTAGGATATGCAAGAAGTTATTTCTAGATTTGTCTGAGCAGTTTTAATCTTGCTTTCCTGTATATCCATTGCAAAAGTTAGTTAGGGTCCAGTGGGGAAAAGGCAGAGAACCCACAGATATACTAGAATCGGTAACAACTAGATTCCACAAATAGGATTGGATATTTCCACATGTGGTTAAGAGAATGGAATCTCACAAGCTTCAAAAGAAAAAAAAAAAACACAATAAAACCCCCATTCATTCATTTACTGCAAATTAACCCATCTCCCATTTTGTTGCTTTGAATGCCCCTTCGGCATTATGTAAAATTTTGCTACTATCCAACCTACTGCAGTCAGGAGTTGTCAGGCAGCCATGGCTTTTCTCAGGCAGGGGAAGACGTACTGCTCAACAGAACGGTTTCCTTAGCTTTTTAGTTGGACATTTTGCTTTAGTCCTGCAGCTGGGAAAGTTCATGCCCATACAGAATACTTTTAATTTCCCAGGTTGGAGGAAACACAGCTCATTTCCCTCTGCTGCACATTGTATCTCAGAAAACGAGAGAGGATCTGATGCATAAAAAGTGCCACTTGGTTTTACAAGACAAATACAAGGAACGTAAGGGGAGGAGAAGCCATTCAAGACTCCTCCTTACTCCCAGACATTCTCAGTGCAGCAAGAGTTGCAGCAGCAGTGCATATAGGGCCTAGCAGCTTTCAGTGTTTCTGTGCAGGCTGCAATACCTTTCCTTAGTAACACAGATTCTATTTTTAAAGCACTCCTGTTTCTTTTTTGTTTTTGTTTTTAAAAGACACACCTGTTTTTTTTAGATAGGCCTGAACAAAACTTTCTTGGGGGTAGAGATGGTAAATGGTAAGGAAAGGCACTTCTACAAAAGAAGAATTCGCACCAAACATCTGCAATTTGCTGCAAATAATCAAATATGGCACTTCTCAATGAACACGTTACATATAATTCTTGTAATCAACACTTCTCTGTAAGAGGTCTATTTTTAAGAAAGAAGCAATCTGCCTTATACATAATATTTGATTAATTTGTACTAAGTAATCAGCAAAGATCTTTCCTAACCATTCTTAGAGAGACTTTAACTTCAGGAAAATTCCATCTAAAATGAAGATTAAAAAAATTTTTAAGAACATCCTGTTCAAAGCAAAATGTGAAATAATCTGCTTACAGTGAGAAGTTTGGTTGTAATTCCAGCATCTACCACAGCCTTGTGCATTGCACGCAAAGTCTCCAATTCTGGAGCAGCAATAAACACTACATAGGGCATGAATTCTGAAGTCCTCAGCACTTTCAGGGCCTGGCAAAGAAAAAGCAAAAAAAAACCACACATACACCTGAATTAACTCCATATGAGAACGACTCATCACATCTCCCCAGCACTTAAGTGGCACTGCAAAGCTAGTCTGTTACAATGAGCAGAACTATGTGATAGGCTAGTACTTTTGTTTCTATTTCAGAACTCCTACGCTGCCTGAAATTACAAGGTTGCCTTTCAAAATGCTCAATATTAATCTTTTTGGCCAAGGAAAGAATACTTATAACTATGCACGGCTCCTCATTCACGCAGAACACTAGTTTTTTTTTTTTCATCGTTCTAACTTACTCTAATGAGGTGCCACAAATACACAAATCCAGTCCACACTGGAATTTTTCATGATATGCAACCAGCCTAGAAGTCTTTAAATTTAAAGGCATACCTCTTCAACATTATATTCCTACTTTTTGAATATAACAACATAAAATATACACCTGTGGGTTTACATCCAAAATGCAGGTCCTTCCAGTCTGAACAACTTCAAGGATGGAATCTATTTTGGTGCCATAAAGATTTCCTTCATACTCTCCATGCTCTAAATATCTGCCAGCTTTAATATCAGTCTCCATTTCAGCTCGTGACACAAATCTGTATGCTTGCCCATCCTTTTCATCATCTCTTGGCTTTCGTGAAGTAACTAAACAAAAAGATTTAAAATATGAATTGAATGTTACCTTTTCACAGCTAGAATACAAGTATGAGACTGGACTATGTATTTCCTCTGTATTATGCCTTCACACCATACACAACGCTCATTCATGCCATCTTTTTCATTATTCACCAAATAAAATTATAACTTAAGTGACCTGAAAGTCCATGTAACTTCAAATCTCGAATGCTAAGTTTACTTTTGAAAATTTATTTGAGCACTCAAAATCATTTAAAAAGGGCAAGGGGAGCAGATTTTAAAATACCACATACTTTCCTCACTGTTACTTAGGGTAGAGATTACCAGAACTACCTATAAAATAAGCTAGCTCAAACACAAAAGCAGCCTAGCCACAGTAGCAAGAAACTTAGTGGAGGCCAGATGAACCTGCTCTTCAGGACAATTTACCGTTTAAAACAAGATAAACTCACTGGAGAGAGTTATTGCCAATGGTGAAGTAAAACATTAACAGCTAGCTCAGGTGTTGGCCTACATCGCTTTTCCTCATAGCGATATGGATCCATTTCAACGATTTTCCAAAAAACACAAAAAAGAAAACATCTTTTGGGAATAACCTGAAGAGGTTTCTTCTAATCAAAGAAACTAAGGCCAATTAAAATTACTGATTATCCTACTCAATATCTAATTATAAGGTAGAAAGAGATTCTGTATACCATAAACCATGTACTGCATGTACATAATTAGTTTGTCAGATCACTGGGTTAGAAAAATTATTTTTACGTCTTTGAAAAGAGCTCTAAGTTAAAGCATTGTAATGTTGCATTGTATTACCTATTTATAGATACAGCATTTTAGAGAAATCAGTACTTTTGCGGGCTTTTTTTTTAAGGGGAATAAATAATTTTAAAAAGTAGTACGTTTCTCAGTATCTCTTGTCAATGTAAAATAACCCGATTCCAAGGGGCAGATTTCTTCAAAAAAAATTACACTGTGAAATCAACCCTGTTATCAGCCATACATATCAGTTGTTAGTGCATTGGCCAGTTTCGGGGTTTAGAGATTCAGCAAATTAACAGAACAACTGGCTCTCTCTTCAGGCTCCACAATTTGTTTGTAAGATCTATCCTTCCTGCCCTATTATCAGGTCTACTTTTTGCGCACTGAAAACAGAAGGAAACAGAAATACCAGCAGACACACATACACAAAAATTGTTTTTCTGCAGCATCAGTAATGATCAACTGTTACATGTATTTCCAGCTGTGGTCATATGCTAGCCCAGTTATCTGAGAAGATGAAGAACCTTTTGTTTTCCCACTGTGCACAATATTTATACGCTGCCAAATTACTTTTACACTGAATCGCTGGGGTTTAACTTCAGGTTATTCTCTAGCTAATCAGAGACTCAAAGTAGGCTATTACAATAGGAGTCCTGAAAACTTACACGGCACTGTAGTTCCAAACCTAGTGGGATTCAGTACTATAAACCTGTTCTTCAAGCTTCTTCGCCCCACTCCTTGGGCCCCAATTAAGACCAGTGTTTTCCTCTGAAAAGGAGGCATTTTGGCTACTTCCTCATATATCTGGATTTCATGACGATCAAATTCTACATTGAAAAGTGTATGAATAATAGTTAATACTCAGTCATTACTGCAAGAATGATTAAGTAGTTCTGCTATTTATTAACAGAATATATGTGAATAAAAATAGTACGCACAAGGCTTTAAGTCCTATATAAGCTTTCTGGCTTTAAATTGGTATTAGAGTACAATAGTTACCCCTTCAGGGGCAGCATAAAGTGAGATTACCACCTTCACTTCCAAGAAGAACTTTGCAGAGTGATCAAAACTGGAAAATTGTGATTACCAATTAGTGCACTTTAATGTTTTTTCTTTTTTAACACACCGTTCCGCTCTGACTTCCACCTACAGAAATACGTACCCAGCACCACCATATCCCCACTGGTCACTACTGCTTTTAAACCTCAGAAAACTACCTATCAAATTTATAACCATGTACTTTAATACATATTTCTGCTTTGGACACACTAGACTATCTGCAAGTTTAGAAGCCTAGAGAACTTGGATTCGTATGTAATATTAAGAAATACCCGCATTTCTTGTGGTGAGATACATCATCTTTTTCTTTTTTTTGCTGCTTATTGTTCCGCAGAAAGGCCCTGGAAAAAAAAATTGAGACTAGCTCATCATTTTTGTTTAATGTGTTTTCTTGAAGCTTATTTACATGAATATATGCAAGTTTAGATTAATTAACTTTACAAGGACTATTTTGAAGAAACGATCATGTTCCTTTTTAGAATTTTATACATCCTAGGGAAAATTACAACTAATTTTCTCACATTAAATGGTATAGTAAGAACAAAATGCTGAGAAGAAATTTAGTTTACCAAGAAAGCTTTCTAAAAAACTCTAGAAAAATCCTTGAAATGTTTAATATATTAACTTTTAGTGCATAGTATAAGAAAAAACTTGGAAAAAAAAGAACTAATTCTATGGCTTTCCCACCTCATTTAGCTTTTCATCAGCAGGTGGCAAAAGTGATTCATATATCTATGACGACCAAGTGTATACTTTTACTTTTGTCCTTACGCCAAAACAAAGGATATTCAAATATAATAATTAGCATTTACCAATACTGAGTATTCTCATATAGCAATTTCATAGTTTCTATAACAGCAGGGAAAGTTAAAAAAATGGAGTCAGAGCAAAATATGTTCCTGAAATTCATTAAATCTCACCTGAGTTGTCCCAGTCCCTCCTAACAAATGCCTTTCTTTTCTCTTCCAGGAACTGGCTAGGAATAAGTCCTGCGCTTCCTCCTTCTTTGACATGACTAGCCTAGAAAAAACATTAATAAAAACACAGATAACTTGTGAGAAGCACTTTTCTCACGAACGTTTTGATGACTGACTTTCAGACTGTCAGTTTGGGGCCAGTATACTGCTAGTTTCTCAATGGTGAGTGTTGAAACTTTTATTACTGAGATGTGGAAATTCTAATTCACATGTGGATGTTAAAATTTGCAGTAACAGTAGCTTGCCCCCAAGGTATTCAAATTCAAAGAGCTTAGATAAAACAGATACAAGTTTCACTACTGATTCCTATTCTGTTAATAATCTCCTATAGCTATAAACCTTTGGCATCAAAATCCTAGATGGACTTCTATAGCTCCAAATATTGAGTTCTCAAGGGGCAAAATTCTGGACACTAGTGCACAGACTTATTTTGTATTCTTATGCTGCTCCAAAACAGCTTCCTGTGCAACTTTTTAACTGTCATTTCACAAACAAAGAATTTTATCCACACATATCTAATCATCCCTTCAAGCTTCTGCACTACAGAACTACAGATTTAAATCCTGGTAAGTAAGTATGCCTGGTAATCGAGGTTTGGCTAACATTCTCTATCGACATCATAAATGATAGTTAATTAGTTCATAATTATCAATTAATTAGTCCATGGCATGACTAAAGCTCAGCAAGCTTAATGCATATAAACACACAGCTATGAAGTGCTTTATTTTTCTTCTCCATAACTGGTAGACCTTTCTCTCTTGCTAAAAGGAACCGTATGCTTTTCAAGTTGTATTCTTTTACCTATTAGTGACTAACTGAATTTTTTACAGTTAGCAAGTTTTCAGTAACAGTCTAGTATTTCTTGAGTGTCCACTAATTTTTTTTCCATTGGTATAATCTGCACAGCAGTATTTGCAGCATGCTATATTGGCTTAATACTTTTTTTTTTTCCCTCTCTACTTACAAAGGCTGTTTAAGAGACCTTATTGATTTATTTTGCTTGGGTCCTGTCAAGTTACAAGCTGGAAACATTTGAAAAATAGTACAGAAGACAGCATGTAAGCCATTTCAAATTACTTTGGAGTTTCAGAGCATCCAACTCCTAAAACTAATTCACTTAGGCATACCAAATTTTCTGCATCTTCCCCTTGCCCTTTTATTTTCTTTCTTTCTTAATCACGTACAAGTAACAGAATTCAGCAGAAGACACTGAAGTGTTTTAAAATATTTCTGTTGCTCTTCAGAGCAACATATACATTGCTCATTTAAGTAATATTTGGCTCACTATCCTTGTTATTTAACACAGGGTTAGCAACTTAGGGGTAGAAAGGGAAATTAATAATGCTAAAATCTTAGCCTGGATTGCCACTGCCACTTGCAATTTTGAGTATCTCAGTTGAGAAAAGTGCCTTGAAGGTCCAGTTGTCCTATTTTCAAAAGTACTGATGATGATTAATTGTGTGCATTATTTTGGGGAAAAAAAAAAAAGATAGCATTAGATTACATTTGTACTGAAGGACTGAATGCAGAAATACAATCTTAAAGCAGGATGAACTGTTAATATTTGAAAGTGCCAAATACTTTGATTATGAACATGCATGTTACAGCTCACAGACACTGACCAGCGCTCTGGGAATAAAAGATATAGCTTCTCCAAAATAACTACTCTCACCCCTCTTCAAATCCACAGAGTTAATTTCCCTCTCTTTCTCCTCAACTCTGAGCACTCAGGAAGGGGTCCACTTCTTCCACAGTCACTGTCAGGGAAGGCTTACCGCAATTATTATAGTCAACCTAAGACTTCCTGCTAGAAATTGTCCACTTAAAACTGATTTTGGGAGGTCTAGGCTTATGACACAAGACGACAAATAAAAAGTAGTAATAGCAAAAGGATAGTATTACATATACTAGCAAAAATTGAATGGTATACATTGTATTTCAATTGTTGATATCTTGATATTAGCTTGAAATGGGTAACAATCTAAATATTTTTTCTTATATTTACTATTTATAAATAGTTCATTATTTAAAGACTTCCTTATTAATATAAACAGTGAAGCTCTGAATTTCATATATATATAAAAAAAAATTTTTTTTGATTGTTTTACCAACCTGCCACCAATTTGGATCTTCCCGGTTTACAATCTGAAGAATTTCTCCTTTAGAAAATTTCAAACCTGCTTCTTTGCACGGGATGAGGTTGTCATTATACGGATTATAATCAAAATGACACTTCACAAAAACCTGAAATGTGTAAAAATTTACAAATTTTGAAGAATACAAAATACATTCTTGCTACTTTATCTGTCAAGCTGAAGTACTGCCTTCACGTAGAGTCTAAGAAGTCTGACATGGTCAAATTTGCATTTGGCAAGTAAAATACAATTTATGAGAGGAGAAAATGGCAAACAGTATGCCAGCTGAGAGAGTAAAATTAATCTGCAGTGCAAACTTTGACTGAAGGAGCTTTATGACAAAAATAAAAAAACAACTGTTCTGTTTGGGCAGTATACTACAAAACATTCATTTTTGCATTTCGATATACACCTCTCGATTAATATTCTGACATCAAGTTACTTAAAAACATAGACCATTCTCAGAATGTGAGCAGTGCCCTCAAGGTTCATGGAGTCTTAAGCATTAACTTTGCCATGACCTCAAGGTTTTAAAGCAAATAAGATGTGACTGCTTAAGACTCAAATTTGATGCAGGGGAAGAAAGAGTGAATTGCTTCAGCAGACTGGAAACATCTTTGACTTTTTTTCTACCAGCTTGGATAGCAAAAGGAAGCAGTGTACCTGCCTCAAATACAACACATTCATATAGCACCTCCTCAGCCTAAGCACAGTCTATTATACCTGCGGACATTAAGACCCACTACCTAAGGGTGTTTCAAATGCACTGATTTAGAGCAGCAATTACTTCTGCAATGGAGATATCAACAGAGGCAGCAACAACAAAAGGACAAAGAATAGCCATTAACTTCCAACCTAAAGTCAGTGAGTCATACATCAGGTTGGTCTGTTGAATTCAGTACGTTCCTGAATTCTATGAAACGGATTATTGGGACACTGATCATGTTAAACACACACGGTTTACCGCAGTTTAGTGTGCTTATGGCTAGATCATGGGTGGTTACTGCATGCCACAGAAACATGCTTGAAATTATACAAATGCTTATCAGACTTAGATTCTAATACCATTTTTTAAGCAGATTTCTATTAGGTGTGACCTGAATCTACTGAATAATCCAGCTTCCAACATGTACTTAAAAGGGAATACAGATATCTGCATTTTAGCCTTCCTGCTAATGTTATTTGCACAAAACAAATCATGGCCGATCCAAAATCTCAAGAGTAATTTTATGCACTAAAGTACCAAACAGAAGTTGTTTTGACAGAATTGTTAAAAGTGCACTACTAACCTGTTGAGGAATAACAGTGTCTCTATAGCTGGGGAGAATCTTCAGAGTGACACTCCCACTAATATTTTTCAGCAGTTCCTGCAATTCTTTTGGATTGTTTCCAACCTCGTGGCCGTTCACCTCTTTAATGATGTCACCTACATGCAGAAGACCTTGTCGATCTATCATTCCACCATGCAGGATTCGTGCTATTACCAGATCATTGTTCTCAACTCTAAATGTAACACCCTGAAAGAAGTATGTGACACCTAGTTTACCACTGTTTGAATTCCACTTTCATTTTACCATTACCTCAAGCAAATACATACTGCTATGGAACACGCCATCTACCTCCCCCCAAAAGAACGCCGACAATAACAGTTACTACGATGTAGGGGTTCCTAACATACAGGTAAGTGTCAAGTGACACAAAAGTGTTTTCACACACAAGGTTTTTATATGACTGAACCATGACTGTATTGCTCTTGATTGCAATCCTGTCATTTTGTAGTAGGACCAAACAGATATCGTGTTAGTCAGTTATGCTGCCAAATCATTCTGCCTAATGACTGCCTATTCATTATCATAAATTTTTAGAAGGAACAGGATGGAGAACACACAGATATCTTCCTGTTTCAACCTCTCAATACTGATCCTCTCATCCCTTAAATTATATACCATGATAAAGGTAAGAATGAAAAACTTAATGCAATAAATTAAGCAGATGCAAACACTTTCACTTACACTTTAAAGACACGCTCATCTGCAATTACTTACCAGTGGCTCTCCTGCTCTTTTGTGAATACCAAGGATACGAATAGCATCTACTGGAACAATCTGGTTGTTCACTGAAGAATTATTGATTTCTGGACTAGAAGGAGGGGAATCATAACATTTTGAAGCTACAATATCATGCGCTTCCAAGAGTGACTGCAAGGGAACAGAAAAAGCCTTTTTCACACTATGAAATAACCAAAAGAATTTAGTGCTTAGTAACCACTGAAACTGCCTATTTAGGGCTTAAAAAACTCTTACTTATGAAACACAGCAAAAATTAATTCTCATGTTCATATGAAACGTAAGTACTCATATGGCCTGAACACCCTGCTATCTTGACAAATATACTTTCGCAAACCCAAGTCATTTTTCTTTAAGGAATTACAGCAGAAATGTAATGAATTTGAGAGGAGCATGTGAACTATCTGTCACCTAGCAAGACTGTATCCAAGTAAACATTTAGAGTAAAACAAACAACTCACTGCCCCCCCCCCCAAAAAAAAAGGGGGGGGGGAGGGAAACTCATCATTGTGTTCAATGTAGTGAAATTTCTTCTACAGTAACTTGGAAGTAACTGCAAATTAAAGATAATTATCGGTATAGAAGTGTTTCTGGCAATCTGCAGAACGAGTGCTTCTGCTTGTATAAAACCAAAGCAGAATTCTACGCTCAGATAAGTTAGAACGAATCCAAGCTGACACACTTCACGTTTTGGAAGACAAGAGCTCAGATCTTACAGCTAACAATGTTTTCACTAGTTTACATACATAAGTATAGACCAAAAGGTGGAGATCCAAACAAATATAACCATCTTTGGAAGAAAATACAATTTAAAGTACCTTTGATGAGAAAGTCTAGCTTAAGACTAAAGAAAAGATTTCTAAGATAACACATACAGGTTAAACTAGAAATCAAACGTGAAATTACACTGTGGAGACCTTCTATCTTAAAAGAGGAGAAAAGGCGCACACTATAACCACCACATACAGTGCTCAGGATAAAGTGTCTTGCATCGTACAGCCTCACTCACAAGTATAGGAAGAGAAAGGCAAACAAGCTGAAACAATGCCTATTAGGCCTGTCTTGCCCCAAACAACAGAGAACTTTGTTTCCAACAGTGACCTGATGCGATACAGTCATAAGGTAGATCACGATGGCGTCAGGTAGGTAGAGAGAGCAACAGAGAAGAGGACACCATAGGAACTAGCAGTGGAAGCAACACGCATGTGCCAGAGCAAAACAGCAAACAGGACTAGAAAATGGGGCAGGTGAAATTTAAGTTTTTCAGTTTAACAATTTTGCCATGCATTCTGCTCCGTCCTTCTGTAAGCCAACCTCCAACCATGTTAGTTTAGTGCTAAGCTCAACAAGCAAGACTTGCAAAGCATCACAAACCTGAACGGTTATTTTCATCTGCCCCTAAAAAATACACGACATAGTGACCCTGCTGATACTTCAACCAGAGATTAGAACGAGTTACTAACTGACTGATTCTGCCCTTTCCATTAAGGCTGTAAAGACAGCCGCTTATTGTGGCTGCTCAGATACTGTGGACATAAACCAAATCAAATGAATAGGAAAAACAATCATTTATTTAAATCAAGCAGCTGCAGATGGTAGCAATTTCTAGTTCATCAGTATCCAAACTGCATCCAATCCAGAAAAGAGGATAACAGATCTCTGGCTTGCCAATGTTTGCAAGCAACATTTTGGATCTTTCTGTATTTCCAGAATGAAACCAACTAGTACCAACTACACATTTTGACACATTTCCACAGACAACGCCAGGAAGATGCACCCGTAAGTTGCTTAGAGTTTCCTTTTCTGGTCGCATACTAGAACAAGCTGGTTCCAAACCTTCTGGCCATAAACCACTCAACTCTCACATTTTCTCATGGAGTCCCACATGTAACCATGCTTGTACATACCGCTCCCCCCCCATAATGGTAGTATACTTTACAGAATATAATCTGATCCACAGTCAAGGATGACTACTAAACAGCCTGTGCTATCCTTTCTGAATTAACATGCTCCACAAGATTCTTCTCTGATCCCTTTATCCACATTCTGATTACACAGATCATTTATTACGTTCCCATACCTAACTCTCACTTCTGAGACTCAAGAATCTATACCAGTTTTACCAGGCTGTTTCCAGTCCAGCCAGAACACGGGATACAGCTCCAAAGAACATTTAAGAAAAAAAGTCACCTGTTAACAGAGTCCATGATTTTGTATCCATTGTCAGACTACTCTCCAATATTTTATGTTGGTCACAATTACCTTCCTATTTCAGCAGTGTGGTTGAGCGATTGGAGAAATACTTCCAATGGAATTCATGGTGACTGGCTTCAAGTGAAGCACAGACTTCACTTGCTTCTCTCTTACAACATCTGAAAAACAGTGCAGTATCCTCTGCTCCTGCAACTCTGGAGCTCCCCTGAAATCCAACCTTTTCCATACTGGAGTCAGAACATTTTGCAAAAACCTCTATCAGATCCCGCAAAATGGCATGGACTAAATAATTAATATGCCGAAGACAATTCAAAGTTTCTTCCAAATAGTGTATTTAAAAAGCATCAGCAGGCTATCCAAGACTGGATAACTGAAGAAGGAATCTCATGGAAACAAAAGCAATGCTTACAAGAACTCTGCGTATCAAAAGAGAGTGGCACAATGAACATATTCCTATGGCAGACGCTATGGCCCCTTTTTGCAAGGTACTGTCGTTAAGTAGTCCATAAGCTTAGAATATATTCACTTCTCTAAAGTAGCTTTCTCTAGCTGTACTTATTTGTGAGTTTAAAAAAAATACACTATGTAGTTCGTAATTCTGTAAGCCAAGAAACATTAAACACATCCAACAGCTCTCTTCAGCACTGAAAGCAAATTCAAATTCAATAATTTGGTTCTCCTAATTCCCCGCCCCATGAAATCCTCAACATGATGAGTTACGACACATTGCTTGCCCCTGTGTGATTACTATTTCCCAATTATGTTCCAGTAGAACAATTAAATTGCATTTTGGGGGAGGTGGGAAGGGGAGATGCACAGAGGCAAAAGAACTCTATGTTCTCAAATTCAGGACTCATTTTCTAACACTTCAGACCTCAAAAATGCTTAAAACTTTTCCCCTCCCCTTTTAAGCACTAAGTATCTGCTTGTCTTCTCTGACAATATTGTTTAAAAATAAGAATAATCAGCAGAATGCTTGCTGCTGATGTACATGCAAAAAAGAAAAAAAAAATTTAAAGACTGCTCTGGTACAGTGATAGAATCATGCAAAATCTTACAGAAATTAGTGGAGGTTGGTAAGAAGGCATGAGTATCTAGGAAAAAATAACCCTATAAATTAAGTGTACAGTGCAAGATTTGCACCGAATGAAGAAGGAAACCCTAGAAGTTTCTTATTTCTCTTACACATCCATGACTCACCTCACAGTGCAGTGAAAGAAAGAGCATGCAATCTTATTCATAGCATGCAATAAATTTCTAAAATGTGTTCCAGGGAAGGGTCAACAGACCACATACTAGTAGATCTGATATTGATACTATGCAGATTAGAAGCAGTTTCTGTAAAAAACAGAATTGGACAAAGTAGATTGTGGAAAAGCATCATCAGAGCTTTAACAAAGAGAAGTCACACTTCACAAATCTGGTATTGTTCTGTGGAAGAGTCACCAAAACGGCATACAGACAGATACAGTTGACAGTATACTTCAAATTCCAAAGGCATTTGACAGCGTCCCTTACCAAAGTCCCTTAGAGAAATAAAGCTACTTTAGGATAAGAAGGTAGGCTCTCAAGTAGATGAAAACATTGGTTAAAGGACAGAAAAATGGAGAGCGGAAATATAGGATCAGTTTTCATGGATCCCCACAGGTACCACGGCTCACTTCCACACTTGCCAATGTGCTGGCATGTCACGTAAGTGATCTAGAAAATGGGTCTGAGAAGCGAAATGACAGGGTTTGCTGGTGCTGCTAAGCTATTCAGGGAGTACAACAGCTGACCGAAACCTGCAGGAAGACCTCCTGAGCAACAGAGTAAAAGACAAACAAAATTCCACACAGAAAAAATACAATCCTAACTTAACGTTAACTGACGGACTCAGAAATTGCATCTCAGAGGTGCAACGGTCCCAATAAATAAATAAATAAATAAGTAGCCTCTATGTTCAGCAGCTGTTAAAAAGGCAAATCAAATACCAGGAATTTTTAGGCAATGAATAGGAAATAGAACGCAAATTATTAAACCCCTGCATAAATCCATGCTGTGTTTGAGAGTTGTACACAGCTTTGGCTCTCTCCTTTTTGAGGCAGACACGCATATACAAGTGAGGTTTCTATGATAGGTCTCTAAAATCATGAACAACATGGAAAAGCTGATTAAAAAAAAACTATTCATTCTCTATAGAAAAGGAAGGGGATACTAAGTGAAATTGGCAGGCTCAACAACAAAAGGATGAAGTTCTTCACTGTGCTATAGGATGTTGTGGATGCTAGATTTTTATATGGGTTCAAAAAACAACTGAACAAGCTGAAAGAAGAAAATTCCTCTACAGGTTACAAAAAAAGGATGATACCACTTCTGACTCTGAGCAAAAAATAATCAATGAAGTCTCAGAAAATATTTTGGAAGGTATCACTATTGGCTTGCTCTGGTTATGCAGTCTTCTCTAGATGCCCACTACTGGGGACAGAGAAGGAAAACAGATGCTTGTTAAGTGAACCTTTAATGTACAATTAGAAAGCACAAACAAAAGATCAGATCAAAGTTGCAAAGTTCATGTAGCGTATATGCAATCTGGGTTGTTTTTTTTTTCCCCCCCCAAAGAAACAAGCAAAAGAAAATCCCCCAAATACCATTAAATGGTGTAAAAATTGTTTTAAACGAAACATGCCAAGTTACTGAAGTCTGAACTAATAGAGTAACTGACACCAGCATTATGTTGTGTCTCTACATATAATTATGAGCACTGAACAGGAATGCATGCTGGGTTTGCCATAGTATTGGCTATTCATCCCAACGAAAATTCTCATTTGGTCTCAGCCTCCCACAGCCGTTTCCACTCTCCACCACATAAATTACTTGCCCAGCTGGCCTCTGGTCTTTCCCACCTCTCTCCAGAGATCACTGCTACAGTGCCTTTCAGCATCAGGCTACTTCAGCAAGTTCTTCAGTCATTAAGTCTTTTTCATCTTTTGGTTCAGCTTCTGCACTTTGTCAATTTTAACTTCTCTGCTTAATATAAAGGATTTTTGTCAGGGCTGTCACTGCATCAACTGGCCCCTAGTTCAGATCCTCTGCATTGCAACTACCAGTTCCTCCAAACTCATCCTCTCCCTTTCCAATCCCAATTTCTGCTAAAGGGATCAAAGACTGATCGGAAGGTGGATTCACCAGTCAGTCTTCAAATCATAGTCTTTGATCCCTTTGATATGATGTCCCTCTGGACAAACAGGAAGAGCACAGGGGAGGCCAACACCTTGCTCTTTAGAACGGCAAAGGAAGTGTCAGAGCTCAGGATAGCTATTACCCAGAAAGTTGAGTTTTTAAAGCATTCTCTGCTTCCAGTAGGACATAACATGGCTTGACAGCATTTCTGGTGTCTATCAGACTTTAAATCGTAATGCAGCTCATTGCTATGTGTGTATAATGTATACCTGAAATTTAGAAAAGCATACCTAAAGGTGTTATAATTATTCTATACCTGTCTGCCAAAAGAGGCACAGTCATAGTGCGGGAAAAAGTTAGCTATAGGTATCTTACAGAAGAACATAAGCAAAGTATTAAACCCAGCTGAAGTCTGGCTATAAAGTCCACAATCCACTAAGAATTTAGAGAGCTTATTATCTCTAAGCTTCAAGGGCCAATATGGAACCTGGTAACAGCATGCCAGTTCTGGAGAAATGTTTGCTTTTGACAAGTATGTGTCAACATTTCATTTGCATAAAGTACAGCAACAAGGGGAGGGATGCAGAACTTTCAGTTTAAGCTGCAGCGCAGACCTCCTGTTAAAACAGAATCAGGTTCATTCACTCTGCAAACTGCATGTCTTAACATATGAGTATAAATGTAAATAGCTTAAGAGAAGTGCAGAATGGCCAGAATCAGAAACTGAGACCACCAGAAAGTGCTAAGAATGGAACCACCAGGGGATTTTTAACAGCATCTTAAGAAACCTCCGGTGAGCATGCAGACACTACATTTTTATCCAAGATTTAAAACAGAAATTCAAGTAGATTTTAACAGAATGAATGAAGACGTATTGGAGAAGATAAAATCTTGCTCATTCTTGACGCCACATGGCTTCTGCTTTACCTTTCATTAAGAGTAAAATCCTAGGTAAGACAGTTTGCTGCAATGGTCTTTGTTTGTTAGGTTGCAGTTGTTACTGTTTTATCATCATATCTAGATCTGTATGTGTACGCTAATCTAATAGATGGGCAACATACAGAAAAAACTTGCACCTGAAAATGAGGTTCCTTGAGTATTCCAACTAATTCTGCAATATTTTCATCTTTATTTACTAACGGACTGATGTCTTCAAGAATTTCATTCACCAACTCCAAGTTGTTGTCACTGACAGCCTCAAGCTTAGAATCTTCCAATCGCTCATGAGCCTGCAAATACAATAAACATATTACACTAAGTTTCAGGTAAATAGTACTTCCAATTCATATAACTTTTTCATTAATTTCTTGGTGCATCCTTCAGCAGGGAAGTCAGAACTATTACATATAGTCTAATTGTATACTTTATCTTCAGAAATGCTGAAGGGTTTTGCATGCTTAACGAAATGACCAGATAAACTCTAAGCAGCACCCATCAAGAGATGCTTGCATGTCTGCGTTTCCTGTAACCTTTGTGTGAGGGACATAGACACTAAACAGTCCTCTCTTAATAGCATAGCACTTCAGATCTTTTCTGCTTCGGAACTCAGTGAAGTATACGTTCTAGAAGAACCAAAAAAAGCAGCTCAGAAATCTGCTCAGAAAAAAAAAAAAGTCTGAATGAGAAGCATTTACCTGAGGGTCCTCCCACTCAAATACCTTCAGAAAGCCAAATTCTGAAAGAAAGTTGCATAATTTTTCACCTCTTTCTGAAGATACTGCTGCAGACATAATCCTTCCCTAAACATTCAAGCAGATGCTTGAATTCATTGAAAGGTAAGAGCTTTGAGCAGCAAGAGGAACACCTTGCAAATCCAAATGCTCTGCTTATTTATTACAGGCAGTGCTATATCATAAAATGAGGGAAACACATGAGGCCATGTGGTTGAAGACATAACTGAGACTCCCAGCTCTGAATTAAGTTATTTACAATACTGTAGCAATAAGAAGTTCAACAAAGAACAATTGCTGTGGCAGGTAAAAAACAACAAACAACAGATAAATTTAGGAGTGGTCTATATATACCCCACGCATATGTAATTTGAAGGTATGCACACACATCTACTTTCCTAGTAGTGCTCTTAAAAAAAAAAAAAAAAGATGTTAAAATAAAATTTTGCTAAAAAACAGAAAAGAACACTTTCTTTGTCCCCTGAAATCATCTGAGTATTAAATTCTACTTGAGATCTATAAAATGGTATTTCTTCAGGACCAATGATCAACTGTTAGAACAGTTAACACAGAAAGACACTTCAAACATTCCCCACTATCAACACCCACTGAGAGCCTGGCACCTACACACATTCTCCTTAATACAGGAATGCTATGTTGTTGTTAACTCTGCTGTACACAATATGTATAGTAAACAATATCTTTCTTTTAAGGTTTACTTCTTTTATGGAAAGAAAGAGACCTACAAATCTTTTGACTTTTAAACATACTCTGTCTGCAAAAACATTACAAGATTAAAGAATTTGGGTTATATGCTTTTCCTTTCCCAGTCCTTTGCTTTAAAATACTATTACCATCACAGAGTTTAATCTAAATACAAACATCCCCATCCCAACCCCAAAACCAAGGTTATATACTTACAGTGGTACAGGAAGTTTATCAGCTAACAAACTCCCATCCAGCAATAGATTGCACATTAGCAGTATATAGAGTGGTATGAATTTTAAAAAAAAAAAGTTAACTTAGAACCAATATTTATTTTTCTGTTCACCATTTCAGAAACAGTGATGAGATTGAATCTTTTTTTTTTTTTTAAACTCATTAAGTATTTACTATACTTGCCCAAAGTTCAAATAATAAGGCTTTTGATTAACGGTCTGACATCCTAAACACTGGATTCCATGTTTGTAGTTTATTCTAAGATTAAGCTGTCTGGGTTAGCCATATATCTGGAATGATATAGGCTCTGCCTTCGCTATAAGTGCAATACTAAAAGCACGACATTTAGTGTCATTGCAAAATTGAGAAGAAAGGTTTGAGGTTCAAAAGAACAGTTGACAGTCTAGGTAGAAGAAAATGTCGATAAGATAATTGAATAGCGCAGTTGAGTAAAGTTAGCGCACGTTCCAAAATTAACAACAGCTTAAAAAAGAAAAAAAAAACTATCAGTTAGTTAAGGTTGAGCATAAACATCAGTAACTAACAGGAAAATGCATTTTACAGTAATTCTAGTTACTTCCCCTTCCCTTCAAAAGCCCCTCTGCCCAGAAACACACAGAAATCGGAAAACAAGTTCATAGGCAAGGGTAAACTAAAAAATAAAATAAAATAAAATTGAAGAATGAAGTGTATAAATAATCTCTCCCCCAGAAGACCTGTAATTTCTACCTTGATGGCTTTATTCTAGACACAGAAGAGCGAAAGATATCTATCTTCGAAAGATTAGCCAAACTTTGTATTGCAAAATGTTATTATAAACTAACAACTATGCTCATTGCTTGCCGCCTTTTTTTTTTTTTTTTTTTTTTTTTTTTAAAAGAAAAGCTTGTATTACTCATGGCATATTTCCATAAGTTTCTTTTTTGTCCTTTTTGTGATACTTTACATAATTATTAGTCTTTATAGCTGACTAATAAAAGAAAATGAAAAGGCTTTTACGGTTCTGGCCTGATCCAAATTGGATCTTCACAAATAATCCGGCCACCTCAAAGTCCTAAGAACTGTCTATTCTGTTAAAATTAGCTCTGCTAATAGAAAGACAAGGTTTATACACTTTTAGAGAGAAACTGATTCTGATGAACTTCATGAAATTTGTTGTCTTTTTGATATTGTCCTTATTTAATCCGGTCCTGCTGGCTGGACTGAGTTTCTGGATTTAATTCTGAAATAATTACAAAAATATATCAGTGTGGTCATGCCATGTGAACATAATTAAAGCCTTTCAGCATCCTAGATAAAGCAAGTTTATAGTTAAGAGTCTTCATTTCCATTATCAGTACTTTTTTTTTTTTTTTTTTTTTTTACTTTGCTAATCATTAAATCTCCCATAATTGTAATTGGCCATTAAAGTACATTTGTACTTTCTTATCAAGAGATAAGAAAGAAAATATGCTTTGCAATGAACATTTTGCTCATGATAAATATTAAAGATAAACTATGTACCAGATATTGAAGTTGGAAACAACTCCAAGCACGAAAGTGCTTTTACTTACTCCTGTAAGTTCAGTATACAAATCTTCCTCTCAGCAGCCATCTCACTAACAGGTGAAATACTTCAATTATTTCTAAGTTTATTGCTATGCAACTCTTTGCACTTTTATCCAATGTTTTCTGAATAGCTGAATAGAATTAAATTCTTAAATGAATTTTGTATTAATTGTTACGAAAAGTTTTTCTGTTCAGATTTTTATACTCAGTAAAATCCCTGTTCATCAATCCTTTAGCTTTCATAAGTTTGCAGGTTGTGACTACAGACTATTTCACGACTGCCCAAAGGACTGGCTAGCCTTATTTTCACGTCTGTTCCTATTAAAGAGAGAAGTATCTTTAAGTTAACTGTTTTCCTCACGTAAGGAACTGTTATAGCTACAAAGTTAGAATAAGAAAGAAGGGCTGTATGATACTGACTGCATCACTTACTGATAAGGTTAGCTACATTTCAGTTGCAGGAAGAATTTTTGTATCCATCACCTTTACATATTTATAAATGATTACTATCATCCATGAATAAAATATTTCGATAATGCAAGACCACAACTAATTATAGCCCATGTCTAATCAAAGGTCACAGTACTATCCTAAGATCCTCAAAAAGGCATGCACTTCATGGAGAGAATATTTCACTGGGTTGATCAGAAAGTCATTCTGAGTCAAAGACAAAAAGAAGACTTCTTTAAGCTATAAGGGAAAAGTATGTTATTGCTCTCACTTTTCATCATTCATGGGTTTTGCATACAAGAGTGGTCATAACACTATATTAAAAACAACTGCTTCTAACTTTTTAAGTATTTTGACGTCTTCTTAATAAATAGTGTTACCACATTATTTATAGAGTCTCTGAATTTTTATTTTTCTTCTAGAATCCTCCATATAACAATAAAACAGAGTGCACACAAATTACATCATACCAAACCTGCTCTATCTGTGCCCAAGAATTCCTTCAAGTCTACTAATAAGATATACCTGACATAAAAGTTGTTTTTTAGATTTCAGTCCATGATCCATGCTCACACAATGGTTAAAACTTTCCCAAATTCTATTCAGAGCAGCAAGTTTAAATACCTTAGCAAGTGATCTTACAATAGGGTTTTCCATAATTCCTTTGAGAAAAATCAAGTCTATTTCTTCAGCTCCTGTTGATGTTGGTAGATCAGTAAGGTTATCCAGGACCTGCTGCATGGCTGCTGACAAACAAAAAACAGAAAGTAAGTACTGATCAAAATAGTCTTGCATAAATAGCGAAAAAACTCTGCAACACACCACAATATTAACATTAGAGATGCAAAGCAGCCAGCTGCATCGACTGAGAGCAAGTAGATAGAATGGAAAAAAAGACTATTTTTGAAAGAAAGAAAGGAGGAATCTATCCAAGTCTTTATCATCACAATCAACTCAAATCTAGGCCCAGCACATTCCCTTTAACATTCACAACTACTTAAAGATCAAGAAAAACAGAAACAAGCATAAAACCATGTATATGATATAAATAGAGATAACCTTCCAAACACAATGAAAGCTCATTCATGACTCTTTGTTCAACCTCTCTTTCATAGAAAGTTTTCAGCTGTCACACCAACCAACCACAATGTTTTACAATTCTTGCGTAGGCAGATGTCAGTGTTTTTGAACACATATTTGCAAATCTTTTCAACCAAAAAGCGTGCTGCCAAGGCAGCTCTTATCTTGGAGACACTTGGGTCCATCCCTACCAGTCCTTTAAAATGCCCAGTTCTGAGGTACTGCACTCTGGCACTAAGTACAGATAGCGCAGATGCTAGCAGCAATCTAGCACCTCAGCATACTGGAATAAGACGTATATATTAGAGCGGAAGTATCTTGTGCCTGCACAGTACACTCAGTGTACATTTTCCTGTTTATCTACAAACTTACAAAGACAACTGCAGCACCTGGGAATGACAGTGAACAACAGTGCCCAAGAAAAGGTCAGAAGATCCCATTATCCCAGCCATCCTGTCCCATTAGGTCATTTGTGAGGTGGGTGATGAGAATGTTTTGGGTAACTGTCTACTTCAACCCTCCTATTTATGATAAAGTTGAACAAAATACATTTTTTTTTGTTCGACAGTTGGTTCAATGTGTTCACAAAATACAGAGTTCTTGCACGTTTGGGTGCACGCGCAGCAGCCCTTAGAACGGATTCCACTGGCGAGCCCTGAGCTTGCAGAGTTGAGCATGTGGCAACTTAGTCTAAGCACGAAAAGCAGTTATAAGGTCCCTCACAAGGTAAATGGCCTTTTTTTTCCTGTTTTCCAACATATAACTAACATTCTCATCTTGTTACTGTTATCTTAGTAGTGAATAATCTATACTGTTCTTGTTTTTTTACAATATTGTTCTTTTAAACTCCTTTTGAGTTATATGTGCATGCTCACACAGACACATACGCAGGTCTACCACAACATTTTCTGTTGAGATCTCCAACAGCTAAGAAGCATGAGAACAACCAACTACTGTTTACTGCAGTGTTCTGCATGTTGCATAGCAGCGTATACCAAGAGAATCAGAAGGCCTATATGTCCCTTCCCTTCTCCCACACAGGAATTTACCCTGAACTTTTTGTTTCATAATGAAAGCTATTATGAAAAGCAGCAAAGTAACAGAACAGACAGCATTTCTCAACACCTACTTTCTAATTTCAGTCCTTCCTAGATAATTCCATTCCCAGAAAATATTTTCTTGATGTTCTCTCTCTCAAGTGGAAATTATTTTTCTACAATTAAACCATCTGATATGTCGCATTTTAACTAGAAGGGTTTATGTCAAAAGACTATTGTGTGTTTTTTTTAAAATGTATTTTAACCATGTTCTCACTAAGCATACACTCATTTACTTCTAAAAAGTGAATCCTCTGTGAAACCATGAGTAGGAGGGAAAATGACACTTGTATTATACTTTCAGATTTTGACAGTAATATTATTTTTATACTTTGATAGACAAAGTGCTGTTAGCCACCATATAAATTCATGCTGCATAAAGGCGACAAATCAACCTGTATGTAATCCACAGGTTCCTCAAACTAAGTGTTCACTATATCTTGACCAGAGACAGATGCAGCTTGCCTTCTCTGTTTCACGATTCCTCAGTTCCCAGTTATACATTCATAGCACACACTTAATGCAGTCATGCAAGCTATAACGTTTGCAGAAGTACACAGATGTTTCTAACCAATTTAGATAGTATATAAGGTGTTGCATAAACACTAGAAGTGTTAGATATAGTAAGATTTATTACTTTACATTCCCTACATTTTAAGGGTTATACAAACTGTTTCTGAGAGACTTCAAGAGAGTACCTATGTTTTTATAAATAATGTTAGAAAGAATATAAAGCTTCCTTCAGGTCAAAGCACTCATTTCAACTATCAAATGCACTTCAGCACTTTATGCTGACAAAGGCATGCATAATGAATACATTCCTTATATATCTCCATATTAATAAGCTATTTCCTACCTGATCCTTTCAGAACTCTATATAGTTTAGAATGATCAAATTAAAAGATAAAATCCCTACATAAAAACTTTGTCATCCAAGAGAAGCTGCTGAAGCATATTTTAGCATTCTTGCAACACAGCAAACACCTTTATCAATATGCAGAGTTCGCAAAATTCATAAAAAGACTACTCACATCCTAAGTGATCAAAACCAAAACCAGATGTTTTCAGAAACAGCTTCCTATTGCGTGCATCGTCTCTCACGGCAAAAGCTACCAGACTGTCTGACAGCGAAAGCCTGCTTAGGTATAATATGCTGCTTCAATATGAAGGTACTGGGGGAGGGGGAGGCGTGGAGAGAAAAGGACAACATCTCAGAGATGTTCCTTATTGTTGAATCCTTTGGTGTCCAATAAAAAGGAAGTTCATGCTTTTCCTTCAGTGAGAACACTAATAAAATCTCTCTTGCTTGTCTTGTCCCACCTTTTACAGGAAACTGGTATGAACGTACCATCTGTGAGAACTCTACCGTGTATCTCTTTCTCCCTCTCAAAGACAGGCCTTTTTCTATGTTCAAGGCCCATCTGGATAAAATTTTAAATTCTCACTACAGTAAAGTATTTCCTTTTGTTAGGATAGCAAAATTAGCAGGTAGGCACAGTTGACTACAACGGCTAACAAAAACACAAGTGTCAGCAGCTACCTAGGAATACATAGGTAACAAGAAATGCACCAGCAGTAACAGCCTCCAGACAGAGCAGGAGGGACTGAGCAGCAAAAACAGGCTCTCAGTTAAGACAAGGTGTTGAACTAAACAGACTGAGGAGAAAGCGACAACAGAATGGAGTTCTAGCTGGGACTCCAGAGCCTAAGCAAAACAGAGGTTACAATGGGACACCCTCCACTCCGGCCCCTGGCTTGGTGACAGAGAACATACACACAGAAGACAATTTACACAGCCATTTCTCAAAGGACATCTTTATATAACCAAACTTCACAAAGTTTAAAGCCTCAAGCAAGATTCAGCTGGAGCTTACTGGCCAGTTGTATGTATACTGAACAATTTAATCCCGCTATGCATATGACCCCATATTCAAAGTAATTAGTTTGTTATTTGAACCTCCATATCCAAAAGAGAAAGAGAAATGTGGGGGGAAGACATGTTAGTTGAACTCTGTGGCAGTTCCTGTACATCCTGAGGCATAAGAATACAGACACTCCATTTTTGAACGTAAAATTAGCCAGAATTATTAACTCCTCCTAATTCAAGTTTTAGATAACCAAAAAGAATGCTTCAAAGGCTTAATCCACACCCCTGTACATTACCATAGTAAATTCAGATCAAATAGGAGTAAAATTTATTATGATAGACTCTTCTCTTCTTGTATTTGTAAAAGAAAAGGCCTAAATTGTGACTCTTACCAACTTCAATTCCACTCTTTCTTTCAGTGCTTAATCCTAGCCTACATTAATTCTACATAGAGGAAAGAAAGCATACATTTAAATAAATTGTTCTGATTTGTAGACAGAAGACAAATGTTTCACTTACTAGGGAAAATGAAAGTTTTCCATTCTGAATACCTTGCACAGATTTTTTTTTTTTAGGCTCAATTCTATTTCATTATTGCCCAAGCTTACACCCTAACTTGGGATTAAAAGAAAATTATGTACAATATACTTTAAATGCATGGATATTTATTTACACATGACATATCCACTTACTCACCCAGCTGGGGGATGTAATAAATACCTCATGTCTGTTGATAAAGCTGAAGTGCTTCACGAAAAGCCTAGAAAGTTTGAGCAAAATCCTGTCACATAAATAAAGTCTGGCCACAATTTCTTATGTGACTGAAAAACTGTTCAAGGGCTGTATCAAAAAGGAAGATACCCAATGCGCACAAGAAAATTTGATTTATAACTCATACAGCCCTTTAAAAAAAGACAGCAGTTTAAATTTTTTCCATGAGTATTCATATTTATAAAATATATACATATACACACACACACACACACACATATATGTACTTTAACACAATGCAGGCCAAAAAAAACTATTTTGGTTTAGCCACTTCTCTCCTCAGTTATAAATTAAAACATTATTGGTAATCTATAGCTGAAAAAGGAGTACCTATGAACAAATTAACATTTTGGACTAGTATGAACAAGCTCTTTCACTGAGAACACATGAAACACTAACAAGCCTTCTGTTAATGCTGTTAGAAGAAGTTTCAGAAACTAGCATAAATATAAAATATCAGCATAATAGTCACAACAAAGTAAGTATAGATTTTGAAGTGTGTCTTTCTCTTTTCATCTTAATTTTTCAGTTCTACTATTAACCTTTGCAAACGAATCAAATCTGTTGCATCTCTACATTTCTGTCACAGGATTCAAAACTATTTATCTGTTGCAGGGAGACAAAGCCTGAAGTCAGTGCAACTGACTGACAAAATACTAATAGCATAAGTAAAAACTACAGTTACACACTCAGCAGCAACTTATTGTTAACAAAAATAATTCAGTTTATTGTACCATTTTTCTTGGTGGAAAAGTTAAGGAAAAGATACACAGAAGCATCTATACAACTTTATCCCACTGATGTCCTAGCTTTATGCCAAAGCCAACTGGAAATCAGTGAACAAATCTTCTCCACACAATAATTAAATTTAGACCTCACACAATAATTAAATTTAGACCTGAGGAGAAAAGAATGAACACTCTTCCAA